CCCTCCATCATCTAGCCAACCATCCATTCATCCACCCCTCCATCATCTAGCCAACCATCCATTCATCCACCCATCCACCATCTAGCCAACCATCCATTCATCCACCCATCCACCATCCATTTGTCCAACATCCATGTTCTACTGACAACACCTAGGATGAGCTGGGCTCTGTGTGAGGGGTGGGGACTATGGCCATGAACAGGAAGTAGTGGCCCCTCTCCACCACAGAGCTTCCAGTCTCATTTGGAGCCAGACACTAGAAGGCAGTCAGAATCCCATGTGAAGTGTGTCATAATGTGGGAGCAGAGGCTGTGGGGCAGGCTGCAGGGAGAGCTGAGTGGGGTTCATGGAGGTCCCCCAGGATGTGTAGTGACGTGTGGCCATCCTGGGACCCCCACAGAGTGAGCATCCTTTCTCACGGAGCCCCAGGCAGATTGAGGGACAGCCAAGACAGAGAGAGGGTGCCACCAGCACCAAGGACATATACCGGCAGGGGAGCCCCTTCTAGGGTAGCCTGGAGCTTGCTGGACATGGTGGGGGTGCTAGCAATGATCATGGGACTCAAAGCTCCCACTAGAGCACAGCAGAGCCCTGGACGATACTGAGCCCCCAGCTTCAGGCACATACACCCCAGAGGCCCAATGACACACCCTCCTGTGTTTTCTTAAACTTCACACATCCCTGTAAGTAACAAAAGGGCTCCAGCTGTGTGACATCCCACCTGGCCTCGGGAAATCTGATCTCCACAGTAGCCGTTTCTCACATAACTGAGGTGGAGGGAGGGATACTGGCATTTAGTGAGTAACACCCCCTAGTGGACAGGATGGCCCCCATACAGAGCCACGACCCCAAGGCTGGCAGTGCTGGCTGTGCCAACACTCCAGTCCCCGGGCTGCAGAAGCCAGCCCATGAAGGACTAAGGCCCACTGCCCTTGTGATGTCCGAGTGTCTGAGCCAGGCATCGCAAGGCTAGTAGTGCCCAGCAAGCCCCACAGCACGGCGGGTACCAGTGCAGCTGTGGCAGGAGAGGCCTTGGGACAAGGTGGCGCGAGCCTTTGCTTCAAGACCCAACTGGCCCCGCTGAGGTGGCCGCCCGCCCAGGTGCTCATTGGAGACAAGGAGTTTGGTGTTATAGCCCCAAGTACCCAGCATCAATCCCAGAAAGGGAACATCACCACCACCACTCCTTGTCTCCCAGATGCAGTTCGGATTTGGTACAACTGGGCACGGATGCCACGGCTGCCTGTCTGAAGACGAACAGAACCCCCATCTCCACAGGCGCCGTGAGGCCGTAAGGGGTCCCAGTGCCCAACTCTACGCAGACGTGTGTCGACTCTGGTCTTTGACACTACTGCCCTCAAAGACAGTCTACTCCACACCAGAGCGCAGGCTGGCTGTGTCCCCGGGACCCCTGCCCAACCGCGTCCTCCCCACAAGGTGCGGTGTGCAGTGTCCTCGCCAGAGGGGTGGGCCCTCGTAGGGTGAGGGAGCGGATACCTCATGCTGGTCATCCTGGGAGGAGGTAGACACCAAGCTGAAGGATGGAGACACAGAGAAGTGGGGAGGGTGTTGACCAAGGTCAGTGACCATGTGACCATGGTTCCTTCCCCGCGGGTCAGCCTGGCTGAGGTGGGGCCGTGGGTCCGTGGGGCCACGGGATCAGGGCTGCGAGGACGCCATGTGACTCACCTCCCGCTCCAGGTAGGACTTGAGTGACTCGGTCTCGTTGAGCAGCGTGACGCTGCACTTGCCCCTGGAAGAGACGGGCAGGAATTAGGGGTGTGGCGGCCAGGGTCAGTGCACGCCCAGGTAGCCCGCGGCCGCACCTGATATGGGTCGCAGGCAGGGACTCCAGCTGCCTCGACAGGAACAGCTCACGGTGCCGCAGCTGGTGCTTGAGCTTCTCAGGCAGATCCACTATCTCTGGGTTCTCCAACTCCTCCTCCATCTCCCCTGAGGATGAGAGGCCCCGACCTGTCCACCCACCACACGGCCCTGTGGGGCAGCCACCCCCTCACTGGACACTCAGTACTCTGTGCCTGCTGTTGCCCTGGCCACCTGAAAGCCTGGCCTCCCCTGCCCCGGGCACCAGGGAGACAGGAAAGAAGGGGACAGAGTGTAAAGTACGGTCTTGGGAGGAGGAGGCAAGAGAGGAAGAGGAGGAAGCAGCAGCCGCCACACACCTGGGGTGGGCAAGCAAGGGGCCCTCTGTCTGCAGGCCCCACCCAAGTCCCAGAGGCCACACAGTCCCGGAGTCCACACCGGGGGAGACCGGTGGGCAGCCCTGGAGGCCACCAGCTGTGCACCTGGCAGACAGACTCTGTCCATGCATGGCTCACCCTCAGAGTCCCGCAAGGCTGGCCCAGAGGGACGCCTGGCTGCTCAGCCAAGGCTGGGCTGTGGCCACTTGTGGGCCTATAGGAGTGGGCGTGCAGCCATGGCCTGTCCCCTCCCCACCCCAAACCCCCCACACCCCATGCCCCAGCGAAGGAGCTGCTTACCTTCCTCCTCGTTTTCCGACCCTGGTCCGGCTTTATAGCAGACTGACAAGGCTGGATAACAAACACAAACATGCCCACAGCAGAGGTCAGGACAGCGCCCCAGGCACAGCCACCTGAGGGTCCCACGACCACGTGGCATGACTGGTGGAGATGGGGCAAAGGGTGAGGGGGGTGCAGGGAGCTCCTGGAGGAAGATCTTGGGGCCAAGGCACAGCCTTGCAGGGGCTCCCTAAGGGTCAGAGGCCATGGGGCGAGGTGGGCAGAGGGGACGGGGGGAAGAGGCCCTGAGGTGTCGAGGACACCAGCCCACCAGGTGTCAGCTGGGACAGGACACCAGGGAGGGGTGCAGAGCAAGGCCAGGGGCAGCCCCCACCCATCATGATGGCTGTCAGGGTCCCCCCAGCCCCAGCACCTGAGGCATGCCCCTGGGCCCTTGGCAACTGACTCCACCCTCCCGGTTCTCGACAGGCACCCTGGACACCCCTATACTGACTCCCTGTGGCGGCTGCGGAAAGTCCTGACTGCGTGTTGGCCCTGGTAGACTTCAGAAGGTGGCTGGAGGGTGAGCTCGAGACAGGAGGGCACCCTGAGCACCAGGTGCCCCAAGTGTCCACGTGACCCACCCCAGTGCGGCCATCACCTCCCAGCCAGAGGGGCCGGGCCCACCACATCAGTCCATGTTCCAGCACCAGCCAATGCCCCTCTCTCAGGGTACCCCATGGGTGCTCTGTACCCATTCTCAACCCCCCAGGGGTACCTACAGCCTCGAGAATCACCACTGCTTCAGCTCCAGCCCCACAAGGGGGCTGAGACACCTCCCCCCGCAGATGTCAGGCAGGGCCTGGGTAGGTAGACGCCTCTCTGCACCTCTGCACATGGCCTTGGGGAGTCCGAGCTGATCCTGGGATTAAGCCAGGGCACCCAGCACACCGGCCCCGGGCAAGGATGAGGCCCTGCCATGGCCGAGCTGGCCTTGCCCTGACAGTGACCCCCGGTGTGGCCCTGCCCCAGGCTGCCCTCGACCAGGCTGCACACCCCAAGCCCTTGCTCCCCCTGGCCAGCAACCCTGCTCTGTGGCCATCTCCTGATTCACACAGGAGCCCACCTCCCGTCCCTCAAGCCCCAGCCAAGTCCATTGCCTAAACTGCAGCCCCACATCCAGTATCTCCTGGTCCCTCTCTGCTGGATGCCAGCCAGGCAGGCCCCCCAGACCTCATGCGTCCAGACCCAGCATCCTGTCCTCCCACGATCCCACCCAGCCAAAACCGGGGAACCCCCAACTACACTCAACATACAGTTCGAGCTGGCATATAGTGGGCCCCACACTGCACCTGCCACCCGGCCAGCCCCACATGCATCACTTTGAAACATACATACATATATACACACAGACACACACAAATACGTATAGATACAGACACACGAATACATGCAGACACACACAGATACACACACAAATATATAGACACACAGATACGTACACACAGATACACAAAGATACACATAGACCCAGGTATAGACACACACATACATATGCACTTAACACATACATAAACACAGATACACACACAAATATATAGAGACACACACAGATACGTACACACAGATACACAGATACATATAGACACAGATATAGACACACACATACATATGCACTTGACACATACATACACACAGATACACACGGAGACACGTACATGCACTTGAAGCATGCACACATACACGTACACACACATACATACGCACTGGACACGTACATACAGACACAAAGCACGTACGTACAAATATATTCTGATACACATTTAACACACATGACACACCTCCAGGCACTCTCTCTCCCTCTCTCTCTCACACACACACGCGCCTGCAGCCTGGCACTCACTTCCCGCAGGAGCCTTATGCGTGCACAGGACATGCCTCCAGGCAGGCCTCCCACGGCAGCTTTCTAGGGACGGAGTGGGAGACCACGCCAGGCACCCAAGGGCTCAGTGCCAACTGCCCAGCTAGGGTACCACCTCTGCCCCATCCTGCCAGCTCCAACGTGGCCCTCTGGAAAACCTGTCCCACAAGCTCCCTCCCAGAACACTGGCGACACGTCCAGACCCCACCTGTCTCCTCTGGAGCCCTCAGACCTCTCTGCCCAGGCCTCCCTAGGCCCACAGACAAAGCGGCCCAGCCCAGGAACCAGGCACGCTCTGAGTGCAGAGTGAGGTCCACACTCATCCGTCATCGACAGGCCCCACTTGGCCATCACTGGTGTCCTGCACTGCCGGGCCCACGGTCACCACAGCATTTCCTGCTCCCCAGGCCTCCCCGCAGCAAAGCTAACAGCGTCCCAGGCAACTGCCTGGCACAGACTAGCCCTGACAGACAGGGGGCCCTTCCTGAGACCTGCACGCCAGCCCACCCCTGCAGGGCTCTGGCTGTGGCCCACCCGTGGAGCCACGAGGAGTGTGGACCAGAGACCCCAGCTCCTTTTCTCAGCGCCCGGAGACCGCAGGACATGGGGCTGGGGCACAGGCTTGCAGGCAGCAGTCTGGAGCCACCGCACCCCACCTGAAGCGCCTGTCCTGAGCTTGGCTCCTTCCAACGTCATTGGAGATGAGGTCCCGCACCAGGGGACGCACCCTAATTACAAGACAACCACAAGGTACACGCTGCCTGCAAGGAACATCACAAACCAGGTGGGCAGAAAGGGTGCCTGGACCTCGGACCCAGCCTGCCCATAAGGCCACCCAGGGTCACGCCCTCTGGGCTAGCCACACCCATGCCCTCACCCTGGGGCTCCACTGTGGGCTCACGTCTCCTCTGTTCCAGCCCCAAAACAGGCTCAGTGTCAACGCAGGGCTGAGGGGTGCATCTCGAGGCACCCACGGTCAATTGAACGTCCTGGCTTGGCCGAGGCAGGGGGAGACTGAAGCCCACGCTTGGTCCCAGGAAGACCCAGCCACAAGGCCACACCTCCTGGAGCTCATTCCCCACCTGGGATGCCTGAGGGAGGCCACACTGACCGCCTCGGGAGAGATGCCCGTCAACCCACGAAGAGAAGTCTAGCAGCAGCCACCTACCCCATCCACTGGGAGAATTGTTACACAGACCCCAGCCCCACGGCCCCTAGCTTGGGTAGATGTACGCCCAGGCTGATGGGCCAGCCTGAGGGATCCTGGTCACAGTGCACCAGGGACTTTGTCCGCTGCCCTGCAGCGCTCCCACCTGTGGCTGCCCCTCTGTCCCTCCCTCCTGAGGTCGGGGGCTCCTGTCTGGAGGGAGGGAGATGGGCTCCTTGTGGGGATGGAGGCCAGTGGCCCCAAGGCCCAGAAGAAGAGCTACTTAGGACACCGAGTCAGGCTTTCATAGACTTAGCTGTGAGCTACGCTACGTGGAAAGGGGGGCTTGTTTTCTGCAAGCAACATTCAGAGCCTAACGGGGGTCTTCTGGGGAGACAACTGCAAGTAAACCGTCTGCAGGCCCTCTGCACGCCCGGCAGCACCCCGGCCCAGCAGCACCCTGGCCCGGCAGCACCCCGGCCCGGCAGCACCCCGGCCCGGCAGCACCCCGGCCCGGCAGCATCTCTGCCAGAGCCCAGATGTCCCACCCGGCGGCATCCTGGAGACGACGCCTCCAAAATAAGTCTTATTAAAAGAAGACCTCCATCGCAGTCGGCTGCCCTGGCCACGCCCCACATCAGGCAGTGGGAGGGAGAACGGAAGGGAAGCAGAGGGAGGGGTGGGGGGAGATGGGGAAGAGGCAGAGCCAGAAGACAGGGAGAGTGAGGAGGGATCCTCATACCCTATGGGTGGGCATCAAGGCCACTGAAAAGGGTCCACAGGCAGCCTGACCCCCGCTCCCCGCCGTCCCTCCAGCTGAGCGCCGCGGGGGTGCAGCCCAGACTCACTCGCGTGCTTGTCGGCCAGGGCAATGAGCGTGCTCGAGATGTCCCTTCGTCTGTAGAAGCACACCACCTTGGCCTCCACGTTCCCATTGGCCGTCTGCAACAGCAAGGCGGACATGTGAGCAGGGTGCCTCTGAGGTGTGAGCCCCGCATGCAAGGAGTGGGCGCTGTGCAGCCCACAGGAGGTGATGGCCCAGCACGTGGGGGCACATGCCCACTCTCCTTCCACACCTCCCGATAGAGCAGGGGTACCTGCACCCCAAGAACACAGGGGCAAAGTGAAAAGGACCCAGTGTGTAAGAAAAGCCCAGCTCCTGGAAGCCCCTGTGTGCTGGCCAGCATCTGAGGCCCTGCTACCCGCCCCCCACTAGTGATGAAGGAACCAGGCATGGATGGGCCCAGAGGAGCAGGGCGCCCCAGCAGTGTCACAGCTAGTGACCGGACCAGAGGTGGACCTGGGAGGAGCATCCCGGCCTTGCTGGAGACCCCAACTACAGGCTCCTCCCCAGACCTTGCTGTTCAGCTGCTGCTACTTGCAGCCAGAACAGGCTGACACCTAGCACATCCAGAGGTCAGCTGACAGCCGGGCTCAGCTGGATCCTCACTCTGCCTTTAGCCTGGGAATGCTGAGGGGGGTGACTGTCACTGTGGCACGAGGACGCAGGCACACCAGTGCTCTCTCAGCCAGCAAAGCACGTGCCCATGAGAGGCACGGCCCTTCGGTTTATATCTCGTTAAAAACAGAACAGGTATCTACCCAAGAAAGTCAGACCCAGACAGACACTTATACACCAATGTTCACAACATCCCAAAAGCGGAACCCGTCCAAGTGTCCACCAACAGATGAGTGGACAAAGATGATGTGGCCCATCCACACAATGGAATGGAACAGTACTCAGCCATAAAGAGAAATGAAAGCCCGACGCGTGCTACAACACAGACGAACCTTGAAAATATGATGCAGGGTGAAATCAGTCAGACACAAAACAAATTAATACTGTATGATCCCAATTATATGAAAGATCCAGAACAGGTAAACGCATGGAGGTCAAAGTTCATGAGAGGCTACCAGGAGCTGGGAGAGGGGAGAGGGGAATCCCTGCTGAAGGGGTGCTGAGTGTTTATTTGGGGTGATGAAAAATTTTTAGAAAGGGATAGTGGTGATGGCCACACAACCTGGTGAAGGTAACGTCACTGAAGTGAACACGTAAAAAGAGTTAAAACGGCAACTTTTTTGTTATATATATTTCACCACCATAAAATTTCTTTAAAAATAGAAAAGCCCCTCGGTGTGACTGGGAGTCAAGCTCTCATGTGCTTCAAATAATGGAATTCAGTTGCCTGAGCTACACGTACCAACCCGCCAGGACTGGAGCACAGCGCCGCAGCCGGCCACCGTGGAGCACGGCGCCACGGTCACCGTGACAGCTGTGTGCTGGGAACTCCACGTTCAGCAATGACTTCCAGGGCTTTCGAGTAGCTAATACGGAAGGAGAACAGGAGGTAACACAAATGCTCAGGGACTCCACTGGGTAAATAATTTTAGAAAGAATGTTATTTTTTTTAAACTAACATGGTGTTACGGATTGAATTGCATCCCCCTAAAATGTGTGTTAACTTGGCTAGGCCATGATTCCTAGTATCGTGTGAATGTCTACCATTTTCTGATCTGATGTGATTTCCCTGTGTATTGCATATCCGACATCTATGATGTTAATAAGGCAGGATGTCAATCTACAAGATTAGGTTGTATCTCAGTCAATCTCTTTTGAGATATAAAAACAGGTGGGGGGGCACCTCATACCCCCAGGAAAGCAGTGCCTGGAGCACCCCGTGTCCTTTGTACCCAGGGTCCCTGTGCTGAGAAGTTTCTAAGACCAAGGAAGACCGATGACAAGGACCTTCACCCAGAACCAACAGAGAAAGTCTTCCCCCAGAGCTGGAGCCCTGAATTTGGACTTTCAGCCCCCTAAATTGTTCAAAGTGTTGAAAGGCAACGATGTCACCTTGAAGACTAAGGTGTGCCTGACCCAAGCCATGGTGTTTTCAATCGCCTCATATGCATGCAAAAGCTGGACAATGACTAAGGAAGACTGAAGAAGAATGGATGCCTTTGAATTATGGTGTCGGCAAAGAATACTGAATATACCATAGACTGCCAAAAGAACAAACAAATCGGTTTGGAAGACGTACAACCAGAATGCTCCTTAGAAGCAAGGATGGCAAGACTACATCTCACATACTTAGGACATGTCATCTGGAGAAGACTTCATGCTTGGTAAATTATAGGGTCAGCGAGAAAGAGGAAGACCCTCAGTGAGATGGACTCACGCAATGGGCTCAAGCATAACGATTGTGAGGATGGCGCGAGACCGGGCGGTAGCTCCTTCTGTTGTACACAGAGTCACTGAGTCGGAACCGACTTGACAGCACCTAACAACAACAAACAGTGAGAGAATAGACTGCTCCTTGTTCAAGCCATCCACTTATGGCAATTCTGTTACAGCACCATTAGATGACTAAGACACATGGCTTTACAAAATCCTTAATAATAAAAAACAAGGCTTATAACTCTCACCTGCTGTTTAGTGTACCAGCATTTATAGCATGAAACAAAACTGCCTTTTAAGAAAGGTATTTAACTTTTAGTGATTTAATTCCCTTAGGCAAGGAGTTTTTTCAGACCAAGCCTGACTCAGGAACTTACACATCATGAGCGTAAATTAAAAGCACAATCAATTTTGCTCCTTCAAAAATTCAGAAGAAACACTATAAAATTGTGTACAACACTGATGATATCAATCCCCAGTCTAGACTATGAAAGAATAAAGAGAATGAAAAAAGAATTCTTCAAAAAAACTAAGTAGCCAAAACAATTTTGTTCTCTAATCAAGTACCCCACCACTAGTCTGTCTGTCTGTGGTCCTGTGGGGGCTTCCGTGTTGCTGTGATGCTGGAAGCGATGCCACTGGTATTCAAATACCAGCAGGGTCACCCTTGGTGGACAGGTTTCAGCAGAGCTTCCAGACAAGACAGACTAGGAAAAAGGACCTGGTGATCTACTTCTGAAAAAAAAATTGGTCAGTGAAAACCTTACGAATAGCAGCAGAACAGTGTCTGATATAGTGTCAGAAGACGAGCCCCTCAGGTTGGAAGGCACTCAAAATATGACTAGGGAAGAGCTGTCTCCTCAAAGTAGAGTCGACCTTAATGATGTGGACGGAGTCAAGCTTTTGGGACCTTCACTTGCTGATGTGGCACGACTCAAAATGAGAACAGCTGCAAACATCCGTTAGTAATCAGAACATGGAATGTACGAACTATGAATCTAGGAAAATTAGAAGTCGTCAGAAATGAAATGGACCACGTAAAGATCAATATCCTAGGCATTAGTGAGCTGAAATAGACTGGTATTGGTCATTCTGAATCGGACAATCATATGGTCTACTATGCCGGGAATGACAGCTTGAAGAGGAATGGCATTGCATTCATCGTTAAAAAGAACATTTCAAGATCTATCCTGAAGCACAATGCTGTCAGTGACAGGACAATATCTATACGCCTACAAGGAAGACCAGTTAGTACAACTATTATTCAAATTTATGCACCAACCACTAATGGCAAAGATGAGGAAATTGTCTGAAATTGATCAAATGTACAATCAGGATGCATTCATAATTACTGGTGACTGGAATGCGAAAGCTGGCAACAAAGAAGAAGAGTCGGTAGTTGGAAAATATGGCCTTGGTGACAGAAACGACATCGGAGATCGCATGATAGAACTTTGCAAGATCAACGACTTACTCATCACAAATACCTTTTTTCAACAACATAAACGGAGACTCTACACATGGATCTTGCCAGATGGAATACACAAAAATCAAATTGACTACATCTGTGGAAAAAGATGATGGAGAAGCTCAACACCATCAGTGAGAACAAGGCCAGGGTCCCACTGTGGAACAGACCATCAATTGCTCATATGCAAGCACAAGATAAAGCCGAAGAAAATTAAAACAAGTCCCTGAGAGCCAAAATACAACCTTGAGCATATCCGACCTGAATTTAGAGACCATCTCAAGAGATTTGACACACTGAACACTAATAACCAAAGACCAGATGAGTTGTGGGATGACATCATACCTGAAGAAAGGGGTCATTAAAAAGACAGGAGAGAAAAGACCAAAATGGATGTCAGAAGAGACTATGAAACTTGCTCTTGAATGCAGAGTAGCTACAGTGAAAGGAAGAAATGATGAAGTAAAAGAGCTGAACAGAAGATTTCGAAGAGTGGCTTGAGAAGACAGAAGTATTATGACATGTGCAAAGACCTGGAGATAGAAAACCAAAAGGAAAGAACATACTCAGCATTTCTCAAGCTAAAAAAACTAAGAAAAAATTGAAGCCTTGAGTTGCAATACTGAAGGATTCTATGGGCAAAATACTGAATGACTCAAGAGGCATCAAAAGAAGATGGAATACACACAGTCACTGTACCCAAAAGAACTGGTCAATGGTCAACCATTTCAGAAGGCAGCATATGATCAAGAACCAACGGTACTGAAGGAAGGTCCAAGCTGCACTGAAGGCACTGGCAAAAAACAAGACTCCGGGAATTGGCAGAATACCCACTGAAATGTTTCAACAAATGGGTGCAGCACTGGAAGTGCTCGATCACTGGCTGAGGGCCTGTTGGTCAGGTTCTCCACTGTAATGTTACTCTCCCCGCTTCCATACTGTGCTCTTTGGAAGAAGTCACGCTGCACAGCCCCCACTTAAGCAGTAGGGAGTTATGCTCTACCTCCTTGAGGGCAGAAAATTACATAATTTTTTGGAATTCTTCTGTACCAGAGATTTGTCGCTTCTCCCCCATTTATTTATTTACTCAATCACTTACTTATATCATGTGGACTCATGGATATTTATTTTATATTTTGGGTTATAATCCAATACTACTTTATTTTGTTGCTCAAATTGTTCCAGCGTTGGCCACTGTCTTCTTTGACATGACCCCATCATTGAGGGGGTAAAAACAGCATCTATTTTAAAGTCAAGATTTACTTTATCAAAGTAGTATGTGTACAGTGTAAAATGTCAAAGAGATTTATGAAACTTAAAATGGAAGACAGTAATTCCATTTCCACCCATCACTTCCAACTCTTTTAGATTTTTCTCCTAAACAGCATGCTGTACTGCCAGGTCCTGGCTTTTCAACTTTAAAATGCCATCACCATCACCTGATTACAGAATTCTTACACCCCACCACATGCCCACCCCAACACACACACTCACTTCCATTTTCAGTGGTGATAACCGTGATTCGGTAAATAGGTAAAACGGCTGAGCCAACACTACACTTAACAGTCTTCCTTTTCCTTCGTGTGCAGCTTTGTCTCCTGGGTTAGGAGTCCTCTCGTTTTCTTCACTTGCTGAGTTTTCTATGTATCTATCCCTTATTCTTTCCCAAGACTCTCAGTGGCACAGCTCCTGAACTGTGCAGGCAGACTGGAAATCATTTACTCTGGGAGACATCATCCCTAGATCACTCAGCCCCTTCTACCTGCCTGGCTTCGTGGCTGCCCTTCTCCTGAGCAGGAGGATCCCACGCCTGCCTTCCTGGATTACTTTCTTTCGGTAGCATATAACCTCCATGGGCTTCCTGAGAAAGGTGCTTACAGGTGAACGTTCATGTCTGAGAATGTCTTTAGTCCACCTCCATGTGTGAGGACAGTTTAGTTAGGTATAGAATTCTAGGCTGAAAATCACTCTTCTTCACAATTTTGAGCTCAAAGACTTCTCATCTCCAAAACTGTTGCTGAAAACTCCAATTGTAGTTTAATTCGATTCCTTGTTAATCTCTAAAATCATTTTTATAGTATTTCTACCTCCTATGTTCTGAAACTTAAAAATATGCCTTGAAGTAGGCTCTTTGAATCTATAAATTCGAGTGTTTCAGTTCTGAGATGTTTGCTTAATTCTCAGGCAATTTCTTCTCCCTGTTCTTGCTTTCCATAATTCTTACTAAGAGGATTGTGGCTAACTCATTGTTTTTTCAAGGGCTGTTTCTCCTTCTCTGAATACTCCATTTTCAGCCGCCCTAATCATTCTTCCTATGTGCATTATCTTCTCTTTCTCCGAGGACAACAGCATAGTTTTCAGTACTGGTTTTAGTTTTCTTCTATTCTCTGCAGCATCTCTTCTTTCTCCTGATTCCTTTTTTCTGCTTTTCCTTTTTAATCTATTCTTCATGTTAAAAGCCCTTCTCAAACATCTTATCACTCGTGGCTGCTCCTTGCTATTTAAGAGTGCACTTCGTAACAAGCTAAGAGCCGAGAGCACAGAACAGGCCGGTCGAGGGATGGCTTCATCATCAGGTCATGGGTTGGGCAATTGACATTCTGCTGGGGGCCCCCCCAGTTTCAATGGCTGTGGTCTGGCTCTCCAGAGACAAGCATCCCAATGCCTTCCTGGATGGTAACAGCCTGGCCATTGAAGTCTGGGAGCTGAGGGGACAGGGAGTGGAGATGGCCACTCAGGGAGGGTCCACAAACGGAACCCCATTTTTAGCCCCTGCCTCACCCATGCTTGGCTGAGCCTGGTGCCCCGGGTCAGGAGTCCCTCTGGGTCAACTTCTCCAGGCCAGGAAAAGAACCCCCATCTTCCTCAAATAGAGAGGAGACGTCGGCTGAGGTGGGGGAGGGTCCTGGTTGATTTGACCCCCACAAGACTTCCAACCCACCCTCATGTTCACAACCCCACCCCTCGCCCTCCCTGTTGGTGGTGTCAAGGCCCTGGTTTCCACAGGTCCACGCAGTTTGGCTTCCTTTGACAAGGTCCCAGCAGCACCAAGCCTAGGGCAGCTGTGTCCCTGGGCAGGCAGTCTGTGTTCGGGAAGGTGGTGTAGCAGCCTCACGGGACATCCAGTCACCATATCTGTTTTCTGCTCTGACCAGCCAGGGGGCTCTCTGCAGCTCAGGCTGGGGCTGAGCTTCGGGGAGAGATGGGCACTCCCTGGTCCTTGTCACATGGTCACAGCCAACACCAGAGAGAAGGGCCCTCAGCAAGCACCAGCTGAGGAGGACACACAGTGGCCCTCCCTCCAGCCCCACCTTGGGGTCAGCACAGCCATGGGACCCAAAGCCCTCGGGGCAGCCAAGCGGTCAGAGTCCTTGAGGAGGCCTGTCCACTCATGCCAATGCCAGCCAAGGCTGCCCCACAGGACAGCGTCAAAGTTTGATGGTGGCTAAGTCAGACGCAGCACCACAACCTTCTGCACCTCTCCATTTCATCTGATCCCTAGAATCCAAAGTCACCCCTCGCTGAAGGTCTCCAGGAAGAACACCCCACCTCTAGGGGCCCAGTACCTAGCAATCAAATGTTGCAGTCTGAAGTGGCCCGAGTGAGGCTCCAGGAACCCTCATTAGTGGGGTCTCCAAGGAGGGGGGCCCAGGTCAAGGTGGGTGACCCTGGATGAAGCCAGCCCAGCTGAGCAGATGGGCAGAAGTCTAGGGCCAGCCCGAAGCCACAGTGGCACCTCCCTAGCCCAGGTGCCCACACCCTGCCATGGGCAACCCAAGGGCTGGGGAAGGGGGCGGGCAGTACCTTGTTGAGCTCCTCGATCCTCCGGATCAGGTATGGGTTGCTGGAGGAGTTCTCGAAGTAGACGTAGTCTGCAAACAGTCACAGGGAAGGCGTCACCACTGCGGCCAGACCACCGAACCCAGTCCCCCTCTTGCCTCCCCAAGAGGCGAGGACCTTGTGGGCCCTGCAGCTGAGGCCGGTGCCCACTCGGTCTGTTCCAGAGGCTGGGACCCAGCAAAGGGTAACAGAGGCATCGTCCCAAAGCCACGGAGCGCACATCCTGGGGACAGAATACACGTCGTGGGGAAGGGACAAAGCCAGACGGGAGCCAGAGAGGCAGTGAGAGGGTGGCAACTTGGGGCAGGGCAGTCGCACCCCTAGGGCCCCGCCACGTGTATCCCAACGTCAGTGCCCTCCAGTTGGTCCCTTGGGGGAGGCAGCAGCACCCCAGTACAACCCTGCCTGGGGCCCCTCAAGACCCTGCATGAGACCCTGTGGCTAACTTCCCACATGACAGCTGCTGGCCAGAAGGGGAGCAGCAGGGTGGGGGGATTCTGGAGCCCAGGAGCTGTGTGGCCAGGGCTGCTGGAGACGGGACCCCAAGAGCAGGCAGGCCCCGGGGTAGGGGCACTGTCACCACAGGCCCCAGAGACACGTTAGCATGCCTGGGGGCCCCTGCTGTGCCCCCATAAGAGCGGCCCCTGGCACCACCTGTGCCACCACAGGGCCCCTCCACAACGGCGAAGGCCCCACCCACCAGCAGATGGGCACAGGGAGGACCCCTCGATCCCAGCATTGGGAAATGGGAGCAGCAGGCTCCCTCCGTGTGGCGAGGCCCAAACTGCAGGGCAGTGTGGACGGCTGGCGCAGGACATGTCAGGTGGACGAGCATGTGGAAGAAACATACGTGGGTAATGAACAAGTCTGGAGTCCGCAGCATGTCACTCCAAGACAAGCCGGGGGCAGGTGGGGAGTCGGCCACAGACAACTCCCATAGACAGGCTAGGATCCCTGGCCAAAGCGACCTAGAGCAGGAAGGCAGCGTGGCTTGGCAGGACGGGAAAGGCTGAAATGGCATCTCCATACCAGGCAGGCTCGTCCTAACCAGACACAGCCCAAGGGCCTCACAAACGGGAACAGATTCAGCAAACTGCAGGAAGACCAGACCAAGGGAGCTCACCGGCCTTGTCCACACAGGGGGCTGCACCTGTGCCAGCTGGGTCCTGTGGGAGGGGTCTGCAGAAGCCTCTCCCTCCCACAGTCAGCACACCCCTGTGAGTACACACCTGTCAGCACCTGCTCCCCAGGCTCCCTGCACAGCACCAAGGACATGGATGGATCAGACATCGATCCCCAAATAAACCAGTGAGGCTGAAAACACAGCAGGTGCTCGGCCGCGTGGGGCTGAGGGGCACGTACAGCCTTAAAGAGTTTACGAAAGGAAGGGCTGTGGGGAGAGACTGCCATGGGCATGGGGCTTCTCTTTAGGGTGATGGAATGTTCTGCAGCTGGACTGTGGGGGTCTTGTACAACATCATAAAAATACTGAAATTGGCTGAACTGTATCCTCAAAACAGGTGAATTTCATGTGTGACTATCTCAACAGTCGCTTAAAATGAGTCTCAATCAATAAAGAAACTAAATAAAGAGCAAATTAAAATACAAAATAACTACTCATAATTGCCAAAAACTGGAAACAACCCAAGCGTCCCTCAGGTGGGAAACGCACAGACAAGCTGGCAGCCCATCTGCCCAGCACCTGATGGAAGACTCCGCGCGGTCACGCGGCATGATGTGCCGCTGATGTACCACAGACGACGCTCAGCACCGGGTCAGGAGGCAGCCGGACATAAAAACTGAGATGCAAAAATTCTTGATAAAATACTAGTTTTCTCACAAAGGAAAACTAACAGGGCAGAAACAGCTGGATGTTGCTGGGATGCAGGGGGCTGACTACAAAGGGCATGGGGGACTTTGGGGGTGACAACCTATTCCACATCATGACTGTGGTAGTGGCCACATGACTGCATACGTTTGCTAAAATTCACAGCAATGTACATTAAAAGGGGTGAATTTTAGTGTATACTCCTTTTAAGTGAACAGGTCTGTAAGTTATTCTTTAACAGATTAGATAGGAAAATAAACCAAAGCAAGGAAGGAAACAATAAAGAGCAGAAATCAATGAAAGTGAAAGGAGAAAACTAGAAGGAAAAAAAAAAAAAACCAAAAGCTGTTTTTTTAAAAAAGATCAATGAATCAATAAATTTCTAGCCAGACTAATAAATAAAAAAGGGAGAAGTCCCAAACAAGCAATATCAGGAATAAAAGAGGGAACATCACTACAAATCCTACAGACATGGAAAGGATAATAAGGGAATACAAGGACAGCTGTATTAAATCCAACAACTTAGATAAAATGGACCAATTCCTTGAAAAACAAGTTACCAACACTCACTCAGCAGATAAGGAAGAAATATAACCTTACACCTATTAAATAAATTGAAATCATAGATAAAAATCCTCCAACAGAAAAAGCTTCAGGCCCAATGGCTTCACTGAATTCTACCAAACGTTTAAGGAAGAAATAACAAAAATACACCACCTCTTCCAGAAACAGAAAAGGAGGGAATACTCCCCAACTATAAGAGGCTGTTTTTACCCTGACACCAAAACCAAGGACATCACAGAGAAATCCACAGACCAATTACCCCTCATGAATATGCTGTTGTTATTATTTTTAGTTGTCATCGAGTCAGTTCTGACTCAAAGTGACCTTACGTCTAACAGAACGAAATGTTGCCCTGTCCTGCGCCATCTTCACAATGGTTGATATGTTTGAGCCCATTGTTGTCATTACTGTGTCAATCCATCTCATTGAGTGTCTCCCTCATTTTTGCTGGCCCTCTACCAAACACAATGTCCTCTTCTATAAATTAGTCTTTTCTGATGTGTTCAAAGCAAGCGAGTCTCATCATTCTCACTTTTAAGGAACATTCTGGTTGTTACTTCTTCTAAGACTGACTTGTTTTTTTGGAAGTCCACGGTACATTCAACATTCTTCGTGACCACCACAGTTCAAAGGTATCATTTCTTCTTCTGTATTCTTTTTTCATTATTCAATTTTCACATCATGTGAGGTGAATGAAAAGATCATGGCATGGATCAGACACATTTTAGACATCAAACTGACATCTTTGTTTTTAAAGAGGTGTTTTGCAGCAGATTTGCCCAAAGCAATACATTGTTTGATTTCTTGACTGCTGCTTCCATGGACATTGATCGTCGACCCAAGTAGAATAAAATTGTTGACAACTTCGATTTTTTCTCCATTTAGCATGGTGTTGTTTATCAGTCCAGTTGTGAGGATTTTTGTTCTCTTCATGTTCAGGTATAATCCATACTGAAAACTCCTGAAGGCACCATGAACACAGATGCAAAAATTATCAATAAAACATTAGCAAATGGAACCCATCAATATATAAAAAGGACAGTACATCTCATAAAACTAGCTGCTGTCGAGTCGATTCCGACTCATGGTAACCCTGTCAACTGGGATTTATCTGGTATACAAGGTTGGTATGAAAATCAATGTAACATTCTATCAACAGAAAAACCCCATGACCATCTCAATAAATTCAAGCAAAGGGTTTGAGAAAATTCAAAACTCACTCCTGATTAAAAACTCTTAAGCTACCAAGGAATTAAAGGGAACTTCTTCAACCTGATAAAAGACATCTACAAAAATCTCACAGCCAATATCACATTTAACAGTGATACAAAATGCTTTCCCCAAGATCAGGAGCAAAGAGAGGATGTCCATGCTCACCATTTACATTCATCACACTGGAAGTCCTAGCCAACGCAATGAAGAGAAAAAAAAAACAAGGTATATGGGCTGGAAAGGAAGAAATATAACTTTCAATTTGCAAATGATGTAATTATCTAGGTAGAAGTCCCCAAAGAGTATACCAAACAGCTATTAAAACTAATAAGTGAAGAGTTTAGCAGCCTCATAAGACAAAAAGGTAAATATATAAAAACTGCACAGTTATATACTACTAATGAACATTCGGAGCCCTGGTGGTGCAGTGGTTAAGAGCTCGGCTGCTAACCAAAAGGCCAGCAGTTCAAATCCATCCGCCACTCCTTGGAAACCCTGTGGGGCAGTTCTACTCTGTCACAGGATCACTATGAGTCAGAATCGACTCAATGGCAACGGCTTTGGGTGTTTGGTTAATAAACACTCAGAAGCCCTGGTGGCACAGTGGTTACGAGCTTGGCTGCTAACCAAAAGGTTGGTAGTTCAAATCCACCAGTCGCTCCTTGGAAACTCTATGAGAGCGGTTCTACTCTGTCATATAGGGTCACTATGAGTCAGAACTGACTCGAGGGCAACAGGCTTTTTTTTTTTTTTTTGGCTTAATGAACAAAGGAGCCGTGGTGGCGCACTGGTTATGCCCTTCGCTGACAACTGAAAGGTTGGCAGTCTGAACCCACCCACCGCTCTGCAGGAGAAAGATCTGGCAGTCTGCTTCTGTAAAGATTACAGCCTTGGGAACTCGGTGAGGCAGCTCTGCTCTGTCCTACAGGGTCGCCACAAATCAGACTGGACGGCAACAGGTTTCGAATGAACACTTGGAAACTGAGAATTTAAAAAGTGCCATTTACAACAACACCGAGAAACATCCAATACTTAAATATAAATCTAACATGTGTAAAGATCTATATGCTGAAAACCACAAAATACTGTTGAGAAAAACAACGAAGACCTAAATAAATGGTGATACATGGATTAGAACACAGGTTGACAAACTTTTTCTGTAAAGGACCAGGCAGTAAATATTTTAGGCTTTGTGGGCTGAGGTTAAATCAAGAATATTATATAAGTTACTAACAAGAGACAAATTTTCACAAATGTTTACTAATGAAATTTGAAACAATCGAGTACAATTTTCTGCAATACAGGTGTACTTATGACTTGTTTTGGGGGGAATAACATTTTGTTTAACTGGGGTTCAAAGTCAGTGTTCCCTAACATCGAAATCCATTGCAAATGTTCATCTGTTAATGCTGATCTGTGATCAGGGCTTACATGATTCATCTTTAAATATCTTTCCAGATAGGTACTACCAAATACTGATACTAACCCACAAGCATATAATTGACTCTATTAATCACTTGGAAG